GTCGAGAAGTGCCCAACAAAAGACTTGATCTTTCTGGTGGGAGACCTAAATGCCAGGGTTGGAATGAACTAGACGGGATATGAAGACATCATGGGACGACATGGAATGACTAGGAAAAAGGAGCGAAAATGGTGAGAGACTTGCAAATCTATGTGCCTTCAATAAACTGGTCATAGGCGGGACAATATTCCCACATAAACACATGCACAAAGCCATATGAATCTCACCAGACCACACTACTTAGAACCAAATTGACCATATCTGCATCAATAAAAAGTTCAGGAGGACGATGGAGGACGTGAGAACTAAGGGGGGAGCTGATATAGCCTCAGATCATCACTTGCTGGTCGACAAGATGAAATTGAAACTCAGGAGGCACTGGACAACGGGGCGGACAATATCACAAAAGTTTAATACGGCTCTTCTTCGAGATACCGACAGACTCGATGAATTCAAAATACCCCCAGCAATAGGTTCCAGGCCTTCCACGATCTACTCAATGGAGGGGGAACTACCATGGAGAACAACTGGAAGAGGATCAAGGAGGCGATCACTTCAACATGTCATGAGGTTCTGGGCCAGAAGAAGCACCATCACAAGGTCGATACACTGGATAAAATTCAAGAAAGGAGGAACAAGAGGACAGCAATCAATACCAGTCGAACAAGAGCAGAAAAAGTCAAGGCACAAGCTGAATACACAGAAGTAAACAAGCAAGTGAAGAGGAGCATCAGAACTGACAAACGTAAATATGTGGAAGGTTTACCAGTGACGGCGGAAAAGACTGCCAGAGAAGGAAACCTGAGACAACTGTATGAAACAACAAAGAAACTCTCTGGGAATCATCGTAAACCAGAACGAACAGTGAAAAGCAAGGAAGGCAAGATAATGACCAACATTGAAGAACAACGAAACAGGTGGGTAGAACACTTCAAAGAACTCTTGAATCGACCAGCCCCAATGAACCCACCCAACATCAAAGCAGCACTCACGGACCTCCCAATCGATGCTGGCCCACCAACAATTGAAGAAATCAGCATGGCCATCAGACAAATCAAGTGTGGCAAAGCAGCAGGACCAGACAACATTCCAGCAGAGGCACTGAGAGCAGACGTGGCAGAAACTGCAAGGATACTCCACATTCTCTTCAGCAAGATTTGGGATGAGGAACAGGTACCAACAGACTGGAAAGAAGGACTTCTGATCAAAATACCAAAGAAAGGCGATCTCAGCAACTGTAACAACTACAGGGGAATCACTCTTCTCTTAATACCAGGAAAAGTCTTCAACAGGGTATTGTTAAACAGGATGAAGGACTCCGTAGACGCCCAACTTCGAGACCAACAGGCAGGATTCCGTAGGGATAGATCGTGTACAGACCAAATCGCAACTCTACAGATCATTGTGGAACAATCAACTGAATGTAATTCATCACTCTACACCAACCTCATTGACTATTAGAAAGCATTTGATAGCGTGGACAGGACAACACTATGGAAGCTTCTTCGGCACTACGGCGTGTCTCAGAAGATAGTCAATATCATACAGAATTCTTACGATGGATTAAACTGCAAAATTGTGCATGGAGGACAGTTGACAAAGTTGTTCGAAGTAAAGACCGGTGTCAGGTAAGGTTGCTTACTCACACCCTTTCTTTTTCTCCTGGTGATCGACTGGATCATGAAGACGTCAACATCTGAAGGGAAGCACGGGATACAGTGGACAGCTAGGATGCAGTTGGACGATCTAGACTTTGCAGATGATTTGGCTCTTCTATCGCATACGCAACAACAAATGCAGGAGAAGATGACCAGTGTAGCTGCAGCCTCAGCAGCAATAGGTCTCAATATACACAAACGAAAAAGCAAGATTCTCCGATACAACACAGCATGCACCAATCCAATCACAATTGATGGAGAAGCATTAAAGAATGTGAAAACCTTTACATATTTGGACAGTATCATCGATGAACACGGTGGATCTGATGCAGATGTGAAGGCACGGATCGGAAAAGTAAGAGCAGCATATTACAACTGAAGAACATCTGGAACTCAAAACAATTGGCAACCAACACCAAGGTCAGAATTTTCAATACAAATATCAAGACAGTTCTACTGTATGGGGCGGAAATCTGGAAAACCACGAAAGCTATCATCCAGATAATACAAGTGTTTATTAACAGTTGTCTACGCAAAATACTTCGGATCCGTTGGCCGGACACTATTAGCAACAACCTACTATGGGAGAGAACAAACCAGATCCCAGTGGAGGAAGAAATCAGGAAGCGCTGGAAGTGGATAGGACACACATTGAGGAAAGCACTCAACTCTATCACAAGACAAGCCCTCACATGGAATCCTCAAGGCCAAAGGAAAAGAGGAAGACCAAAGAACACATTACGCCGAGAAATGGAGATAGACATGAGAAGAGTGAATAGCAATTGGATAGAACTAGAAAGGGAGTCCCAGGATAGAGTGGGTTAGAGAGTGCTGGCCGACGTCCTAAGCTCCATTGGGAGTAATAGGCGTAAGTAAGTAATAAGAAGCGTACCATATTGTAAAAACGATTTTCAGATAAAAGTGAATCAGTGAACTAATGGTTTGACAAAATTTGTCATTAGAAATTGCACTGATTGCGATAAGTTTGGAATAACGAATATTCTTATTTCTATTCAGTATTATGATAGAAATATTGATGAAACTAACTTTCTTGACTCTGAGTAGTCAAGCATCAATCTAATTTTATCACACGAGAATAACGTTATGTAAGGGTGACAAGACGACAAGATAAGAGTTTACTTTTGTGTTGATTAGGCTTTTTGAGATGGATGGTTTAACTGTGAAGCTATCAGTGATGTTTTAGTAAGAGTTTATTTGGTTCGGTTGACGTTTGATTATGTGGCCGACTGATGTTTTCCATACTTACTTACTTACTTACGCCTATTACTCCCAATGGAGCTTAGGACGTCGGCCAGCACTCTCTAACCCACTCTATCCTGGGACTCCCTTTCTAGTTCTATCCAATTGCTATTCACTCTTCTCATGTCTATCTCCATTTCTCGGCGTACTGTGTTCTTTGGTCTTCCTCTTTTCCTTTGGCCTTGAGGATTCCATGTGAGGGCTTGTCTTGTGATAGAGTTGAGTGCTTTCCTCAATGTGTGTCCTATCCACTTCCAGCGCTTCCTGATTTCTTCCTCCACTGGGATCTGGTTTGTTCTCTCCCATAGTAGGTTGTTGCTAATAGTGTCCGGCCAACGGATCCGAAGTATTTTGCGTAGACAACTGTTAATAAACACTTGTATTATCTGGATGATAGCTTTCGTGGTTTTCCAGATTTCCGCCCCATACAGTAGAACTGTCTTGATATTTGTATTGAAAATTCTGACCTAGGTGTTGGTTGCCAATTGTTTTGAGTTCCAGATGTTCTTCAGTTGTAATATGCTGCCCTTACTTTGCCGATCCGTGCCTTCACATCTGCATCAGATCCACCGTGTTCATCGATGATACTGTCCAAATATGTAAAGGTTTTCACATTCTTTAATGCTTCTCCATCAATTGTGATTGGATTGGTGCATGCTGTGTTGTATCGAAGAATCTTGCTTTTCCCTTTGTGTATATTGAGACCTATTGCTGCTGAGGCTGCAGCTACACTGGTTGTCTTCTCCTGCATATGTTTTTGTGTGTGCGATAGAAGAGCCAGATCATCTGCGAAGTCTAGATCATCCAATTGCATCCTAGCTATCCACTGTATCCCGTGCTTCCCTTCAGATGTTGATGTCTTCATGATCCAGTCGATCACCAGGAGAAAGAGAAAGGGTGATAGCAAGCAACCTTGCCTGACACCGGTCTTTACTTCGAACGACTTTGTCAACTGTCCTCCATGAACGATCTTTCAGTTTAATCGATGTTTTCCATACTCAATATCAATTTTCTTAATGCTATAGTGTTTAGTCAATTGTATCTAAAGTGGATATTTTCGACATTTTCTCAGTATGTATTGATAAATATGATAATACGGATATGGATTTAATTGGTAAAGTGTCAAGTTATGCAATCTAGTAAGCTAAAAATAAACCCAGAAAATCTCTTGAAGTACAGCATTCAGGTTACCTGACAATCAATAGACATATGATGAATCAACCAAAAGGACGAATAAATTAAAAGTAATAAATTATCCTATTCTTCTGGATTTTTCATGTGCCTTATTTCCTCGTTCCAAATTTATTCCACTGGATTATACTCCTTGAGTAACATCTTCAAACCCTAATGTTTCCGATTACTGCTTATACTCTCACTATCTCTACCACCATGGAACTTCAATCGACAATTGTATCTTTGTACTAATGTGTTATGGCATTTTGAACTGCTGTATGTACATACGACGTTCTAGGTTGTTGACTGACTGACTGAATAAATTATCACATATTAGAAGTTATTTTTGTTAAAAAATATTAGTAATATTGGTACCAAATATTCGATAAATCAAAAAGTGTTTAGAACAATAACCCATCCCCAAACGTGCACCCTATTCCGATTTAAGGACTAGCAGTGAACCTAGAATGACGAGCTGCAGGCGGAGTTAAAATGGTCTTCTAGACACTTAATTTGCGCCAAACAGACTGAAGTCAAGATTTTAAGACAATTTGTGTCCAACGTGTTCATAAAACAAATATATTTACCATTGATTCTGATCCATAGAATAGACTAATAAAGAGTGATGTGTGTTATTTCGAAAACCAACATACGATTTGTTACTTATCTTTTGTGGAAGCTGCACTGTCTATGCTGGTTTTTCTTTCAGTCACAATGACCTTAGATTCCTTTCTACGCATTAGTGTTTTGACTAGCTCGTTTAAAATATTGAGTGGTGTTTAGTAAATGTATTATTGTGGTTTTGTATTTCTATGGTGAACGCATTCAATTTGTGACTGTTTCATTGTCTCTTTTCCATGTGGATGTGGAAAATCAATGTTTTTTTGGTTTGTATGCAATGTAAACATAATGTCTGATCAGTCTAATCGGATGATGTTGTACTTGAGTGTAATTCGTCATTTTGATTCACATGATATGATTGTAGTTGATACTTTCTCTCACTGCTTTTAGGAATCCGAGAAAGAATGTCAATCTGTAATACCACCGCCACCTCCACCGCCACCACCTCGACCAACTTCATCTTCTTTGCAACGAAACTCCACTATGCGTGTTAATTGTTCGAATTCATCACTTCAGGATTTAGGTAAGTTTGGTTAGCACTTTGTTGAAATGTATGATCTAGAAACTTATTATTTGTTTCGCTGTCACTATTTGCAAAATTTATTTTTCCATTTCTAAGAATTTAATTTTACCACTGATTTATCTACATTTGTGGCTTAGTAATGTTTGTTATTGCTTTGATAGCTGGATTACACGAATCGATTTTCTGTGATGTTGCCTTAATTCGTTGTTATTTGTAGCTATGTTACTTCCATATCTGTCGCGTGTTACTAAGTGCTTAAATTGTTCTACTTTTTTACTGCGTCAACTCATTCTTCTGGAATCATATTCTGTTTGATTAATCTATGTTATTACGACGAAGAATTCTGGTCTGCAGCCTATGCTCCATTGGGAGTAACAGGTGTATATAAGTAAGTAATTACTACGAAAGCTATTTCTACCACTACCGCTTCTACTCTGTTATTAATTGTTTATGTTCCGTTCTCTGTGCCAAGGTCATTAGCAACATTGACAGATCCAAATTTTTACTATGTGTTTACCTTGGTTTTGGCAGACGTTTCTGTTTCTTGATAGATTGATAGTTTATTGTTTCATAAGTCAAGCCCCTAAGTTTCATACCTTTCTTCCCCAAAATTTGTAAAATTATAAATAATTTTCATAACCTTTGTCCTGATTTTATTTATATTTCTTATTTATATAAATTACATTTTATTGTACTTAAGATTCAGGAGTGAAACCTGTCAGAAAATTATCAACAACAGTTTCAACTAATCCTAAAAATAATTTAAAATCTCCCAGTGTAGAAATGCTTACGGAACTGACAAATGCTTTCAAGTCTTTAAAAAACTTTACGAACATAATCGATACCAAGAATGTAGACTTTTCAAAAAAACTTCCTGTAAATCGAGGTAAAATTATTTCAGGTGAGTTATTGTTCTAAACACTTTTTGATTTATCGAATATTTGGTACCAATATTACTAATATTTTTTAACAAAAATAACTTCTAATATGTGATAATTTATTCAGTCAGTCAGTCAACAACCTAGAACGTCGTATGTACATACAGCAGTTCAAAATGCCATAACACATTAGCACAAAGATACAATTGTCGATTGAAGTTCCATGGTGGTAGAGATAGTGAGAGTATAAGCAGTAATCGGAAACATTAGGGTTTGAAGATGTTGCTGAAGGAGTATAATCCAGTGAAATAAATTTGGAAAGAGAAAATAAGGCACATGAAGAATCCAGAAGATTAGGATAATTTATTACTCTTAATTTATTCGTCCTTTTGGTTTATTCATCATATGTCTATTGATTGTCAGGTAACCTGAATGCTGTACTTCAAGAGATTTTCTGGGTTTATTTTTAGCTTACAAGATTGCATAACTTGACACTTTACCAATTAAATCCATATCCGTATTATCATATTTATCAATACATACTGAGAAAATGTCAAAAATATCCACTTTACATACAATTGACTAAACACTATAGCATTAAGAAAATTAATATTGAGTATGGAAAACATCGATTAAACTGAAAGATCGTTCATGGAGGACAGTTGACAAAGTCGTTCGAAGTAAAGACCGGTGTCAGGCAAGGTTGCTTGCTATCACCCTTTCTCTTTCTCCTGGTGATCGACTGGATCATGAAGACATCAACATCTGAAGGGATGCACGGGATACAGTGGATAGCTAGGATGCAATTGGATGATCTAGACTTCGCAGATGATCTGGCTCTTCTATCGCACACACAAAAACAAATGCAGGAGAAGACAACCAGTGTAGCTGCAGCCTCAGCAGCAATAGGTCTCAATATACACAAAGGGAAAAGCAAGATTCTTCGATACAACACAGCATGCACCAATCCAATCACAATTGATGGAGAAGCATTAAAGAATGTGAAAACCTTTACATATTTGGACAGTATCATCGATGAACACGGTGGATCTGATGCAGATGTGAAGGCACGGATCGGCAAAGTAAGGGCAGCATATTACAACTGAAGAACATCTGGAACTCAAAACAATTGGCAACCAACACCTAGGTCAGAATTTTCAATACAAATATCAAGACAGTTCTACTGTATGGGGCGGAAATCTGGAAAACCACGAAAGCTATCATCCAGATAATACAAGTGTTTATTAACAGTTGTCTACGCAAAATACTTCGGATCCGTTGGCCGGACACTATTAGCAACAACCTACTATGGGAGAGAACAAACCAGATCCCAGTGGAGGAAGAAATCAGGAAGCGCTGGAAGTGGATAGGACACACATTGAGGAAAGCACTCAACTCTATCACAAGACAAGCCCTCACATGGAATCCTCAAGGCCAAAGGAAAAGAGGAAGACCAAAGAACACATTACGCCGAGAAATGGAGATAGACATGAGAAGAGTGAATAGCAATTGGATAGAACTAGAAAGGGAGTCCCAGGATAGAGTGGGTTAGAGAGTGCTGGCCGACGTCCTAAGCTCCATTGGGAGTAATAGGCGTAAGTAAGTAAGTAAGTATGGAAAACATCAGTCGGCCACATAATCAAACGTCAACCGAACCAAATAAACTCTTACTAAAACATCACTGATAGCTTCACAGTTAAACCATCCATCTCAAAAAGCCTAATCAACACAAAAGTAAACTCTTATCTTGTCGTCTTGTCACCCTTACATAACGTTATTCTCGTGTGATAAAATTAGATTGATGCTTGACTACTCAGAGTCAAGAAAGTTAGTTTCATCAATATTTCTATCATAATACTGAATAGAAATAAGAATATTCGTTATTCCAAACTTATCGCAATCAGTGCAATTTCTAATGACAAATTTTGTCAAACCGTTAGCTCACTGATTCACTTTTATCTGAAAATCGTTTTTACAATATGGTACGCTTCTCATTACTTACTTACGCCTATTACTCCCAATGGAGCTTAGGACGTCGGCCAGCACTCTCTAACCCACTCTATTCTGGGACTCCCTTTCTAGTTCTATCCAATTGCTATTCACTCTTCTCATGTCTATCTCCATTTCTCGGCGTAATGTGTTCTTTGGTCTTCCTCTTTTCCTTTGGCCTTGAGGATTCCATGTGAGGGCTTGTCTTGTGATAGAGTTGAGTGCTTTCCTCAATGTGTGTCCTATCCACTTCCAGCGCTTCCTGATTTCTTCCTCCACTGGGATCTGGTTTGTTCGCTCTCATAGTAGGTTGTTGCTAATAGTGTCCGGCCAACGGATCCGAAGTATTTTGCGTAGACAACTGTTAATAAACACTTGTATTATCTGGATGATAGCTTTCGTGGTTTTCCAGATTTCCGCCCCATACAGTAGAACTGTCTTGATATTTGTATTGAAAATTCTGACCTAGGTGTTGGTTGCCAATTGTTTTGAGTTCCAGATGTTCTTCAGTTGTAATATGCTGCCCTTACTTTGCCGATCCGTGCCTTCACATCTGCATCAGATCCACCGTGTTCATCGATGATACTGTCCAAATATGTAAAGGTTTTCACATTCTTTAATGCTTCTCCATCAATTGTGATTGGATTGGTGCATGCTGTGTTGTATCGGAGAATTTTGCTTTTTCGTTTGTGTATATTGAGACCTATTGCTGCTGAGGCTGCAGCTACACTGGTTGTCTTCTCCTGCATTTGTTGTTGCGTTTGCGATAAAAGAGCCAAATCATCTGCAAAGTCTAGATCGTCCAACTGCATCCTTGCTGTCCACTGTATCCCGTGCTTCCCTTCAGATGTTGACGTCTTCATGATCCAGTCGATCACCAGGAGAAAAAGAAAGGGTGTGAGTAAGCAACCTTATCTGACACCGGTCTTTACTTCGAACAACTTTGTCAACTGTCCTCCATGCACAATTTTGCAGTTTAATCCATCGTAATTGTTGGTGGGCCAGCATCGATTGGGAGGTCCGTGAGTGCTGCTTTGATGTTGGGTGGGTTCATTGGGGCTGGTCGATTCAAGAGTTCTTTGAAGTGTTCTACCCACCTGTTTCGTTGTTCTTCAATGTCCGTCATTATCTTGCCTTCCTTTCTTTTCACTGTTCGTTCTGGTTTACGGTGATTTCCAGAGAGTTTCTTTGTTGTGTCATACTGTTGTCTCATGTTTCCTTCTCTGGCAGTCTTTTCCGCCGTCACTGCTAAACCTTCCACATATTTACGTTTGTCAGTTCTGATGCTCCTCTTCACTTGCTTGTTTACTTCTGTGTATTCAGCTTGTGCCTTGACTTTTTCTGCTCTTGTTCGACTGGTATTGATTGCCGTCCTCTTGTTCCTCCTTTCTTGAATTTTATCCAGTGTATCGACCTTGTGATGGTGCTTCTTGAAGTGATTGCCTCCTTGATCCTCTTCCAGTTGTTCTCCATGGTAGTTCCCCCTCCATTGAGTAGATCGTGGAAGGCCTGGAACCTATTGCTGGGGGTATTTTTAATTCATCGAGTCTGTCGGTATCTCGAAGAAGAGCCGTATTAAACTTTTGTGATATTGTACGCCCCGTTGTCCAGTGCCTCCTGAGTTTCAATTTCATCTTGTCGACCAGCAAGTGATGATCTGAGGCTATATCAGCTCCCCCCTTAGTTCTCACGTCCTCCATCATCCTCCTGAACTTTTTATTGATGCAGATATGGTCAATTTGGTTCTACGTAGTGTGGTCTGGTGAGATCCATATGGCTTTGTGCATGTGTTTATGTGGGAATATTGTCCCGCCTATGACCAGTTTATTGAAGGCACATAGGTTTTTAAATCTCCTACCATTTTCGCTCCTTTTTCCTAGTCATTCCATGTCGTCTCATGATGTCTTCATATCCCGTCTAGTTCATTCCAACCCTGGCATTTAGGTCTCCCACCAGAATGATCAAGTCTTTTGTTGGGAACTTCTCGACGATTGACTGCAGCATGTCGTAGGACTGATCTTTAACGTCTTCATTGTAGTCGTTGGTATGCGCGTAGCATTGGATGACGTTCATAGAAATGCCCTCTATCTTTGTTTTAAAGAAGGCTTTGGTGATCCTTGGTCCATGAGATTCCCATCCTATAAGTGCATTTTGTGCTTGTTTAGATAGCACCAATGCAACTCCTTGTGTATATGGGGCATTTTCCTCTTCCTATCCGGAGTATAACAGCAGCTCCCCTGAAGCTTGTCATTGTTGTCCAACTTGCGTCCAATGTGTTTCACTGATCCCAAGCACCTCTAGGTTGTATCTCCCCATTTCTGCAGCAACCTGTAAGACTCTCCCAGTCTCCCACACTGTACGAGCATTCCATGTACCTAAATATATGGTTAATCTGGTCGTCAGAAGGGGCACCAACCTCGTGATTTCCGAAGAAACTCGGTTTTCATTATGAGACGTCATAACTCCTCTAAATGAAGACCTAACTCCTAGGGCAGAGTTTAAATGGTTTGAATAGTATTTTCTGGTTAGCGTATTTTTAGCGAGTTAGTTCTCTACGTGATGGGGTCGCTAACCCCATGCCCTACCCTCCTCCTTTATCCAGGCTTGGGACCGACAGTAGCCCACTGAAAGGGTCTCTTGGCGGAGTTTACGGTTTTTATACTTTTCATTTAATAATACAGATTTGTTGTAAAACTTCAATAAAGTTATATGCATTTCTGCCTCATATATATGAGACCGAAATGCATATGATCGTGTTCATAAACTTCGAGGAAGACTGAAGTTCATAGTAATTCAGTTCCGAGCATATCTTCTTGTCATATTGTTTTCACTTTTGGAGTGTAACACAGCAGTCAAAGGACTACTTCCTCCAGGATTTTAAAATTTATATCTTGATATTAGATTTCCTCACGATAATAAAGTTGAAACACGTGTAAATCGTCATCAAATTTAAATGAACACAACATTAGTTATCCATTTCCAACTTTGGACTAGCCACGAGTCTATATTGGTCCAAATTGTCACACCCTACATTGCGACACTGAAAAAATTGCAAATCGAGAAAGATATGTTTGGAAATAATATACAAACCAATAAAAGTTTAAATCGAAAATGATTTCTTTTGTATGATTAGAATTCCAACAGCTCACAATATCAACCTAAGCTACTATCGTTAAAGATTTCTGAAGATTAACTTTTTCCCACTTTCCATTATCTACACAACGCAAGTCTTACCTAGAGTAACAATACATACATTAATTTAACATTCAATTATTAGATATTTCATAGGAACCTAAATATTAATTCATATTCCTCCGGATTCAACCACGCAGAAACACTTGTAATACTAAAAATGAAGTCGATTGATATTTATCCCAGAATTAAACCAAATTCCATTTATTTATGCTTGTAATACTAAGTGGTATAACTAGTTTTCATACATAGAATGTGGTTCATACTTAAGTACTTAACGAATTAGTTAATTGGTCTTACGTTTTTATTCTTTAACCAGCGTAATGATGGAACAGATTGCTCATTCTCCAATATACACGTTTCATTTGGGCCTAAATCGATATTCCTTTCAAGAATGTTAACTGCTGTTTAAATCATCTCTATATTTTTAGCCACACGTTCACTAATCAACCAACCGAGACCTTAAAATGTATCCACATGTATGTGGTTCAATTGATATTTTTCTCAGAGGTTCATATAATCATTTTTATCTTCAAGCATTTATCCAGGAGCAGTCTGATATACATAGTAAAGATATTTAGTATTACATTACCAGAATAATTTTTCGATATACATGAACACTGAGACTGCGCTGTTCTATTACTAGGTGCTTCGGTCGGCTAATATTTCAACACCATCCAAGTATTCTACCCATTGAGTTATTTATTTGTTAATTATATGGATTTGTTCATTTATTCAATTACGTCTCTCTTATTTCTTTTCCCCATCCTTAACATTTTGCCATGTGTAAAGCTATTCGACAAAATTCATCTGATACTTCAAATAATTCACATAACAAACCGAACACTGTAATGCCATCGGTTATAGAATCCGATGATTGTTGTTCTGTCGATACATCATCGTCATTATCATAGAGTGCTTCGAAAACTCAGTGGTAATAATCGATCTAAGTAATATCTATCAATGTGAAAAAGTATGTTTCACAATTTATATACTTTGAAGTAGATTTATCTTGTGTATTGATCTATGTTTAGTTCAGCAAAATGATATTCATACAATTTTGTTGGTTATGCTCCATTAATTAAATGTCTTGTATTTTGACATTGTTCTTCTCTAGATAATGCGATAAGAATATGGATTTTCGTCTGAGTGTTGTTAAATTAATAACAGATTTTAAGCTTATTGAAATCATTCACTTATTGGTGTGAGCGGTGTGAGTATACATAGATTACCTGTATTTCGGTTCCACACGAAAACCACGGTTAGCAGTCGAATACATTGGATCACATGACTCGAAACCCGTCACAACATCGTAAATGCACTCACTCTTTATTTTCTTGTAGACCTTGAGTTTTACTCTGTATTTTCGAGCCATATTCTCAATTTCCATCTTTCCTCATTATCATTGATGCTCCAATTATTTCGATAATTACAATGGAACACCAGTAGTCTACGTATATCCCATACTCTCCTAATGTCCATGTTTCACATCAATAACGTAGAAAGTAGCGAACGGCTGCTCAGTAAACTCCCCCTTTGTTTAGCAGACGAATATCTCGCCTATTCCACAAGTGATATAAGTTCGTAAAAGCCAACCAGGTATTCTGATCCTTTCAGTGTGATATGGCCAACAAGCATATGTACTATGTTCTACATTGGTTGTGTCTGATTGGATGAAGTGACTTGGGGAATAAATAGGATATGACGGCTATGATTGTAAATATTGTTTTTAAATTAATAATTTAGTCAAGTTGTTGTGTAACTTTGGGATTGTACAACTATTCCAGTTACTTTATTAATCAGTGTTATAGGATACATTATAACCTTTTTTAAGAAGAATATTTGCATAGTCTAAGTGTCATTTTTATCCCAAACCACTGTAAAACCATAGGAACTCTGAACAACTGTTTTACTTCAGTTTGCAACTTCATTTAACAACTAGTTCTTGTATTATTTTGTGTGAAACTTGGAAATGATCCATTCGATCGTATGTTTGTCACACTATCCCACATCTGAAGAACCCCAATCTAGAACAAAACGTCTATCATTTAATCACAGTTAATATTCATTTGTGTCGATTTCTATCTTGAAACCATGAAATACTTCAAAAAACTCAAGTAAATATACAATGGAATTTGTTGATTCCCTCACTTAGTGAACCTTCAAACTTTATTGATCCACTCATTATCATTCGGTGAACATCTATCAATTTCAGAAGTCATTCATTATCGCCCAATTAATATTGATTTTATTATCTTAAATTGCTAAATCTATCAATTGTTGTCGTGAATTCATAATGTGAAACTAATTTTAAAGATATACTTACAGATTCGTTTCAACCACGTTGCATGATATGTAAATGCATTATTTAATAGTATCCGCTGTTGCAGATTATATTGTCTTATGTAGCTTGTGAACATGTTATTACATAATATACCATTGTTTATTTGTGTTTTCTTTTCAGGTTATGAAGGTCTTTCATAGAGATCGAAAATTCAATCGAATCATCAAATTTATTTATTTTACATTACTTACTTGCACACACAAAAACATATTTGTTTTAATTTAATCAGATGATTTCTTTAAGTTTGTTTGAATCAATTAAGAACATGAATATAATTTGGTTTGCTAACTTCTTTGAATAAACAAATTTTGAATTATTATGAATGAGAAAACGTGGAAAAGCTGAATTTTCAGTATGAGGCTTCGAACTTATACATACTAAGGGCTGCTTCCTTAGTCAAACATGTGTAAAGAATAGCAATTTCTCCGCAGGAAGATTTGTGAGTCACTAAAGTATAATAAGAATGATATACTGGTTGGCACCGTCAACTATGGAGATTTCCGTTTTACTCCTGTAACTTATTCGTACCATAATGTGTGTTAAATACGATATTATTGAATCTTTTCATTTTCCTCTTCAAAAATGGATACTTATGTGTTGGAGTCTTCACCTATATATACAGAAGAATGAAGGGAATGGTTGGTACTTTATCGAATAATATATGCTAGCTTTCGTGAGATTTCAAATAACTATCACCAACCATCTTCATAATAAAGCCAAAACACAAACCATCATCTTAGCTATGTGCATTCTTCAAGGCACTACGATGCACAGCTTGAACTCTTCCTATACATTTGGGAAAGAAACAGAGTGATTTAAGAGGATGGATAGTGAGTAATGATTGATTGATGACAAAAGTAAATGGTTGGTAATTCCAGAAAATATATAGCTTTTTTAAACATTAAATTATTCTATGAATTTCTTTCCGTGCTAGTAAAACGTGGTAAGACTAAGGAAGCAGTAAAATATACGTCACGATTAATGACATCTGAAATATTTTTCATGATTGAACCATCAATTTTCGCCAGTTCTACTCTGTGAGGAGCGCGTATTCTGCATGTCGTCTAACAGCTAGCTGTACATATACAGAAGCTGAGTGGTAAACAATTTAAATATATCACCGTGCAATCTTACCTAGGAAATCATGTATATCAAAACAATCAGAAGAGTAAGAAATTGGCAGACATACAGTTGTCTGTGCTCTACGACTTTTAATCCATTGTTACTGATTTATTCATTGCTTAAACAAACTTATTCACTCCAGAATCGAGAATTTCAATTGACAATCAGAGAATAGTTTCATTATCAGTATGAGATTGTGGAAGTTGTTGCGTTGTCAGTATAACGTTGTACAAATTGTTGAGATAAGATTGATATAATGAATTCTGGACAACCATTGAAAGCCTGATAGCACTGAGCAGCCGTTTCGTGCCATTATAGAACTCATCAGCAGTGTTCATCCACGATCCCACACCAAATGGACTCGAACCCAAAACCTTCAGCCTCGCGTGCGAATTCTTATCGTCTAGATCACTGAGACCACAACCAACGGTATTAATGTTTAACTTCACACAATCCACCATATTGCACCAATATCTAACATTGTCATCAGTGAGTAACTACTTCACAACAGACACGGTTGTACACCACTGGTCATGGCTTCTCACTAGTACTCTTGGAAATCTATCATGAAGCCAGTCACTAGTCAAGATAGATTTCCAAGATTTCTAGTGAGTAGACGTGGCCAATGGATTTCAACTATGTCTGTTATATAAACTGTTGTTATTGTTAAGAAATTCGCACTAGTTATCGATCTATAACTCTGTTGTATTCAAATTATTATTTAAAAATATTCCGATGCCAGATAGTGCATTATACTTCTTAAATCAACGCTTAAACATAAGATTTATAGACATAGTTTAAATAAGTTTAATGGCCTTCAACTTTAGTTAATCAGTAAGTCAATTCATGCACAATTAATGAATACAATTTTTAAAATACCATCTTGAAATATGAACAAAATGAAATGGTCTCTTAATTAGCAACATTAAATGAGTGTTTTTCCAAATTTTTATGAATTCTAATTTTGTTTACATCAGAGTTTTAGAAAATACAAGACCACGCTGTTTTCAATCATGTGATATGTGAGCTGAATATACTTCGAACAGTCTGGTCACACATTCACTTGTTAAGGTGATTTTCTTTTAAAAACTGATGGTCAACCCGACAAATTGAAAGATAAAAGGAAGACATAGATAATAAATGACTATTTAATAGGAATGTTTCTATACAAATAAATGATACTAATCACGTTAAGGCGAGCTTAATAAACACAGCATTTAGAGAATTTGTTTATCCTCCAAAAAACGTCAATCGATGTGATCTTAAATGAAACTTACTACTCTTCTGAAACCAAACAAGACTGTCTATATCACCTTACCACACAGTGGTAACTTGAATAGCCAATTATTGTAAAGACGTGAACCAAAATTGACTAGTATTTTTTTTTAAAAAAGTCTGTGGTTCACCGAAGATATACACAGAATATAAACGATTGCTCTTCAAATCACTGTTTTTCAATTTACTTGTATGTGTCCAAATAAACATAAAGATGAGTAGTCATGATATCCTAGTTAGAATATCTGAACATGGATCAGAGTGACTCCAAAAACAAATAAAGTCAAATGACTCAGTAATAGCATATGATAAATACCCATTTTTCGGCATTGCTAATCATATAGTGGAAACAGATTACATACAAGATCGTCACTCAGCTTTTATAGCTTTGCACAAACGTTATCTAGAGGGTAGATTTGTCGAAGACTCAACCAGTCAGAATGCAACAGTAAATAAATCCTCAAAATATGTAACTTTATAGGTTTTCGGCAATGATGCCAGACACAGTATTATTGCTGAATACACCAATAGCTAAAGGAGCTCGGTTGAGCATCCTAACTAGACTACTTTTTGATACTCTATACTGATCGCCTCCCAGGACAACTAATCAGCTTAGATGTCATACACTAAGAGACATCGACCCATATTTTCGATTTACTTCCGCATCTCATAAACTGGCTATCAAGACTCATTAGATAATTACATAACGCGATGGTGTTTGAAGCGAACAGTACTGGGTTCGAGTCTCTGAATGAAAATCAACTCTGAGATGCGGATACATCCATTTGACTAGTTGCAAATAGGATGAAACACACATCCTGTATACCACTGTTGGCCATCATCCATCTTTGTTGATGAGGCTATTACTGAAATAAAAATATTTAACTCATAAAATTTCTTTTAAATACTAAAAGTAGTATTGTTCATTTTTGTATAAATTAAATGAAAATGTACAATTTAAATGACATTTTAAAACAAATGTAAAATGAATTTATTTACATTTTGATCATGTATACGTTCATATTATAAAAGAGAGTGATGTAATGTAAATATTCTGGGGTTTTGTTTGTTTGTTTTGTTATTACCATAATACTGATTATTCAGCTGTTATACACATACTTGAATCTGGTGATAAATCAAATTGTGCATATGGAGTAACTAAATCTACACTTC